GTTCTATTTGAAAAGGTCGGGATTTTTCAAATTTTAAATGATCAGGTTTGGCACTTTTTTTTTGCCCCCTGAATATCGCAGGTCAACTTTTGAAACGTTTTTTGAAAGAACCATCTTCACTCTACAGTTCCTGAAAAAAAATAATTTCTAGTTCTCATACAATCATAATTATGTTAACTACTAAAAGTAACGAAACATAAGAAAAAAAAATGAAAAGTCGATTATCTCGAAAATTTTAATAGGGATCATAACACAAAAGTCCCGTTAATTTTTCACTTAGAATTCGATAATGCCATAAAAAATATAGGTTTCCATTTAAAAGAATTAAGTTGGTACCTGCCCAGGAAAAACTGAACACCCTGTATGTGCAAATATACTTTCATTTTGTGCAGCTCTTTAGAAAAAAAAATTAAGTTATATCTTTTATTAACCTAGATATTGGACCTACGCACACTAGGTGGACACGGTATATAAACCTCTATTCGGAAATCAGCCGTTTTGGCCCTGGAGCAATTGCTGTCCAAAAACTTAGTATTACGTTGATCCCAAAAGGCTTCGATATTTAAGTAATTTTTATTAATGATAACCCAAAAATAATAAATTTATAATAAATTGTTCAAAACGGCTTGTGGTAGGTTCTTTAGTTTGATGCAAAACCTCAATGACCACTGGCCGTGCAGTTCGTGGATGTCGACTTACTACATCTGGTTTAAAATTGCCTTTTTCTCTTAACTGACGACGGATTGACGAAAATGTTGTTCAGCAAGAACGTCGGCGATTCGGAAAGCTCCGCTCAGCTTCTCTAGCTTTGCATCTTGCTTAGCTTAAATAAGATGCATGTCTGCATACTCTTCGAACGCAAATTGTCCGATTTCAACAACTTAGAACCAAAATTTCGTCGCAAACAAAACAAATGTGAAACCGATTAGGTCCGATCATTTATTACGTGACAGCTCTGTTCATTTGTTTGACTATTCCTCACAGCGTGGCACAAATGACATTGCATGGCTAGATTAGATGCGTGCAATAGAGCTTTTATCACACAGTTGTTGATAAAATCAATTTTTACCAACATCGTGTGTAGGACATGGAATTGGTAAACACCAAGGTTTCTAAACAGATAAGGTTACCTGATTTCAAGTTTTCAGATCTGGGAGGTAAGGGGTGAAGTAACTTCTGCATCTCTTTCTTATATACGAACTGGATGTACTAACCATTTCACTCGATATAACGCATCCATCTTTGTCAATTTTGCACACAATTTTACTCTTCCTATTTTGAAGGTTGCAGCTGTATTTGTTCGTTTTGGATGTGATTCACGAATCCTGTATTGTTATATCCATAGGCCAGATAATAAATGTATCGTCAACATATCTGACCAACTCTTCAGCTTTAGAGTTGCTGATTCCATTGTTTTCTTTCCAAAACCTTCAATCGAAATTTGTGCTTAGAACCTATAGCTGGCCCTTTAGATTGTTCATAAAACTGATCCTTAAATGAGACGAAGGTACACATTTCCGCCAAGTCTACTAAATTCTCATCCTTGTCTTCTGCGATGAGCGATAAGGGCATGTGACTCGCTGGTGGTCGATGACGTCACATCGATGTTCACAAGGATACCATCTGAATCAGTTTTGGTTTCCTTAATTTTATCGATAAAATCTTCAACACGTATTGGGTGAGTGGATGTGTGGTTGATCCAATTGTATTCACTATTGGTAGGAATGGTACGTTCGGTTTACGAACCTTGAAAGGCCCGAGATATTCTTGTATCACTTAGAACCCTACGTAATTCCCTGGAAATGGTAGGTGCTTGAATCGGAGACACCATTTATTTCTCAATTTTCTTGAGTTATCTCCATCAAGAAAATGAAATACTATACTATAATTATATCCAAATCCATTTTAGTGAGCTTTGATGTGACATCGTTCACAAAGGCGATAATTAAAGAAACTTTGAAAGAGCTTCAACGAAGGGTTATCGCGGAGAGTATAGATAAAAATTTAGTAGACTTGGCAAAAGTATGGTCCAGATGACATTCTTCTCCGTTAAAAATCAGTTTTATGAAATGAAAGAACAGACATATGATTTCACTATTATCCTCAGTTCTCCCCAAAATCTATGGTACTTAGATCATATTCAATGCAAAGTAATAAATCATTGCATGTCCAGTGCAGTTCGGTTTTAAGGGGTTTAAAAATTGAATTATTTATGTATTATGAAGGGATGAAGGGATCAGTTCACATCTAGCACTCTGTTCCTAAGAAAAATCCCTTTATTCTCATAAACTATTCATTTTAAATGTAATTTATTATAAATCCAATTTGTTTTTTAAATTCCACATATGTACTACATTTCACCTCTGTACGCGCCACTGTTGTTTATTTGTTTTGTTTTTGGAGGCGGTCTCTGACTTACGACCAAGCTCGCCAGGTTAGTATTTATCGTATAACTGACCACTTCGTAGACTCCATGCACCTGGGCGACAACAGCTACTACCAGAACACAATGCGTATGAATTTTAGATTTTAGATTCAATTTCATGTTAAATCTGAAATGGTTCATCTTACGTTTCCTAAAATTGATGACACCATTTTTCTTAGATAAAAGACCAACAATTTTTTGCTCTACTTTGCATCGAATACGATCCTATTATACAGGGTGGTCCGAATTTTATGCAAGAAACTTCGAGGGCAGATAGATCTTTTTAAAATAATATGTGCTTGCCTTATAAACATAGGTCTGGAACGGCACCGTTTTAGAGATCCAGGGTGTTGAAGTTTTTAAAAAATTTGATTTTTTGTTTATATCTTCGGAATCTATTAACCGATCTCAATAAAATTTGGTACATATAATGTATGATAGTAGGCCTTATATTCCCTGAAATATGAGCTTTAAAGGTTCAACCAGTGGTGTACAACTGGACAGGGGTCACCCNTTCTTGAGTTATCTCCATCAAGAAGATGAAATACTATACTATAATTATATCCAAATCCATTTTAGTGAGCTTTGATGTGACATCGTTCACAAAGGCGATAATTAAAGAAACTTTGAAAGAGCTTCAACGAAGGGTTATCGCGGAAGGTATAGATAAAAATTTAGTAGACTTGGCAAAAGTATGGTCCAGATGACTTTTTTCTCCGTTAAAAATCAGTTTTATGAAATGAAGCTACAGACATACGATTTCACTATTATCCTCAGTTCTCCCCAAAATCTATGGTACTTAGATCATATTCAATGCAAAGTAATAAATCATTGCATGTCCAGTGCAGTTCGGTTTTAAGGGGTTTAAAAATTGAATTATTTATGTATTATGAAGGGATGAAGGGATCAGTTCACATCTAGCACTCTGTTCCTAAGAAAAATCCCTTTATTCTCATAAACTATTCATTTTAAATGTAATTTATTATAAATCCAATTTGTTTTTTAAATTCCACATATGTACTACATTCCACCTCTGTACGCGCCACTGTTGTTTATTTGTTTTGTTTTTGGAGGCGGTCTCTGATTTACGACCAAGCTCGCCAGGTTAGTATTTATTGTATAACTGACCACTTCGTACACTCGATGCACCTGGGCGACAACAGCTACTACCAGAACACAATGCGTATGAATTTTACATTTTAGATTCAATTTCATTTTAAATCTGAAATGGTTCATCTTACGTTTCCTAAAACTGATGACACCATTTTTCTTAGATAAAAGACCGACAATTTTTTGCTCTACTTTGCATCGAATACGATCCTATATACAGGGTGGTCCAAATTTTATGCAAGAAACTTCGTGGGCAGATAGATCTCTTTAAAATAATATATGTTTGCCTTATAAACATAGGTCTGGAACGGCACCGTTTTAGAGATCCAGGGTGTTGAAGTTTTAAAAAAATTTGATTTTTTGTTTATATCTTCGGAATCTATTAACCGATCTCAATAAAATTTGGTACATATAATGTATGATAGTAGGCCTTATATTCCATGAAATATGAGCTTTAAAGGTTCAATCAGTGGTGTACAACAGGACAGGGGTCACCCCCTTTTTTCCAAAAAAACCTACGCCACTGCATTTTTTACATGTCATTGTAACCGATTTTAATGTACAAAATATGTAAAAAATGTGACTTTAATTTTTTCCTTAAGATTCGTCGTTCTCAAGTTATTCATACCAATACAATGCCCTTGTGGCAGACACTTCTAACGATAATATTACAAGAATATTTGTTTATGTTTAAAAGTAAGTGCAATTTGTAAGCACATCAACAAAATTATTTACACTCCTTTCTACACCACCTGTGAGGTAGTGTGCGATATAAACAAAAAATCAATTTTTTTTAAAACCTCAACACCCTGTATCTCTAAAACGGGACCGTTCCAGACCTATATTTATAAGGCAAACACATATTATTTTAAAGAGATCTATCTACCCTCGAAGTTTCCTGCATAAAATTCGGACCACCCTGTATATAGAAATCTTCAAAAGAAAAGTTTTGAAATCAGCAACTCTGAAGTCAATGTTGGTCCACACAAACCAGTTAGTTACTACAAGCCTTGCACCGGAACGCTATGCTTCAGTGTATATGTATAGTCAATATCAGATACCAACCAGACCCTGACTTAATTTCTGATTTCAAACCGCTATCTCTCAGAACGTCGCGTCTAAAATGACGGAGGGGCAGCTAACCCGCAAGCCTGCAGACAACCCGCAAGCCTGCAGACAAACACAGGATAACCATGCTATCTGAAGAGGTAGCCGGAAATGAAATATTTTGTAGCTGGTTTTGTATGTCGTTTTTTGCACTAAAAATCAAAAATCGAGGAATTACATAATACATTTTATTTTATCAAATATTTTGAAATAAATTCCAAGGAAAAATGTGGCATTATCTATTGAAGAAAATCACATTTTTAAAAAGAAATTTTTTGCTTTTACTACTCCTTTTATTGAGGTTCTCGTTTCAATACTACATAAAGTTTATTGTAATCTGCAAGTAAAGGGCAAAGGTTTGAAACATAGAATTGTAAGGAAATATTTATCATTGTGCCATTTCTATTGTGCTGATGATATCAATAGTATACTACATCAGAGACACGTGCTATGATCATCTGCGTGGATATCTGGACTGAATTGAATCAATACCAACTCGTATGTTATTACGGCAGCAGCAACCTAAAATGATAATCTAGTAGATATGTTATTTAAATCACCATAAAAAATTACACTAAGCGTTAATCCTTTAGTGACGGCGAAAAAATTGTTGCCGGTGAAACAGGGAGTGTTGTAATGCATCTGATGGATTAATCTTGTTATCTGAAAAACAACGGAAATATTAAGAAATTTTCAAATTTTTCAAACTGCTTATTTACATATGGATAACTAAAATTGACCTAGGGATTTTGAAGTTTAATAATCAGAGCAGAAATCTCTGGTCATTCAATTACACGACCCGAATTCAAACGTGTTCGTTGCCTTGAAGCCCCCCATGTTTATTTTTAGAGAGATAAGGTCAAAGGTTTGAAAGGTTTCTCGCGACAGTTTCAAAATACATGAACACTAAACACAGTTTTTTTCCGGATTCGTTGAACAAATTTCAACTTTAATAATATAGTTGCATAGCACCCATTTACTGATCATGTTTTCATTTATAGTAATATTCTCTTCTCAATTAAAACCATTGTTAGAATATGTTGCGAACACACCAGTCGAGACCTAGATTGGCAATCTAGCATTTAGCATCCAATCCGTTTAAGACTTTCTATGCCAGTAGCGAAGATCTCAGGAGATCCTCAGTATTAAAACATTTCATTACAAAAAGGCTCAGTTAAAAGTCTTTTAACCGAATTAGTGTCAATGTGGACCAGACCTCTAAGAATAATAAAAATAAAAGACAGTTCTGCGGAATAAGTCTCTCTGGTAGATTGGTGCTGTGAGAAAGGCGTCCGATAACCCTGACCACTTATTTGCAGAGCCGGAAGCGACAGTACCAGCAATGCCTGTTGTTTTCCGGAATTTCAACGTAGATGATAGTCTTATTCAAAGTAGAGTTATGAGAGAAGTAAATACACGACGGGCTCCTATGATGCATCAGGAATAATAATGATTGGAGGATTTCACTTCAAACATCTTGAATGCATTAATGTCGAAGAGACTAGACATGATGAGACATAAAATGCACTGGGAAAAATAAACCTAGCATTGTATGCGGATGGCTCCAGCACATTACTGAAACGGAAGCTACAGTAATAAGATTTAAGTTCAGGTGGCAAAATCGTATGACCTCAATCACCATCATCCAATCCTTACAGTGTTGCAAAGCAGATTTTGGGATCTTGAGTGCAAGAACATTGCGAAAACTGAGACTCAAGACCAGGACTAATTCAAGCGAAAGATATGTTGTATATTCCCTCGAAGAAGGAAATAAATGAAATGCTGAGTATAAATAAGATTAAGCTGAAGTAAAATTAGTAGCCTGCTGGGGTTGCAACTGGAAATGTGGAGGATTTACACTACATTCACCCTCCTTGGTAAATCTTTCTTAAATAAGAAGTAATAGAAGATAGTATCGGCTACCAAATTTTCAATTTTGTACCAAAAACATATATGTTTAATGAATAGGTAGGCATTACATACTACATAATAGGATAAATTTTTTGATCAATTCTCAAATACTACAAAAGATATAGTCTTCAGTTTTCAGTTCAAATCTAGTAGTAACCTACATGTAAAGTCTTAAAAAAATAGATGCGACGAAGGTAGGAAAAGTCTGAGGACTTGTAATTCGTCAAAAAGAGTAATTTGACCTCATGAAGCCACTGAAATTTAATGTAGCTGTTATGAAATTACCAAGTCTATATTTTCAATAGTTCTTGAGTTATTCATCAAACATCCTGTTTCACATTTAGGCTTTAAAGGACCTTAGAGCTCTTAGAAGTTGTGTTTCAAGAAATATATTACTCTTATCTTTTCTTTTATTTCGATGAGAGTTGCTCGCAACGTCTCTGTTACACCCTATACACAAGGGCATGTTTCCATTCGAAAACAATAAAATCTCTTATGCTATCTTACCTCAATATTATATATTTCAGTAGGAACGGCATTCAATATGGGCAAAGAAGCCCTGCCTGCCTCGTACAACCATCCACCAAAAATTGATAATAAGCAAATTCTCAGGACGACGTATCCAAATGAAAAATAGAAGTATAATATTTTGGCGAACTTCTCTTTGTGGCTGAAAACGAATTGCTTACAATATCTATACCAAACGTGGTATAAATTTAGCACAATAGGATTGAAAGGATTCAGTTTTTATCAAATTCAGTACAAAGGAAGCGTGCAAATAAAAAACCGAATCGGGTTCCGGCTATATTAAGGATAAATAAATTCAATGTGTTGTGTGTACAGGGTGATTCATTAACAATGGGAAAATCGAAAGCTGAAAATACTACACGTAAAATGGTGACCATTGGCGCAAACATGCCTTATCCGAAAGTTGATAGTTTCGGAAATACAAGGTGTTGAAAGTAAAAATTTTAAATCGTTTTTTTTGCGCTTATTCTGAAACTATGTAGGTTAGGAACTCGAAAATTTGTGAAACTATATTTTTTAAGCGATGAATAAGATGCGTGTTGCAATTTCAGCGTTGGTCATAGAGGGCGCCACTTACGACCAATTCTACCGAAAATTTAGTTAATAATTTTTTACCCTGCATGTCTAATATGAAACTTGATTCAAAACCTGAAAGAGCAATAATTTTTCCATTAATTATGTACTCTTGTTTCATTTCGGTATCTCTATCCTTTTTCGAGAAAAATCGATTTAACGAACACTATGTTTTGATAATATGAGAAATTAAAAGCGAAACAAACTAAGTGTTTCTTCATGTTATTACAACAATTAATTATAAAACAAATGGAACACGTAATAATGATTTAAAGTAATAATTGTTCGAAGAATTCACCGTTGATACTGATACACTTTACACAACGTTTTTTGAGATATCTTCAGGTTTGAAACAACATACTGGGATTGCATCTGACTTCGCTGGCAGCGATTCGTATTCTTTGGCACAACTCTTCAAACGAACCAATAGATTCTTTGTATATATATCTTTCATTCAAGACCAAAAAGAAAAATCAAGAGGATTGAAGTCCGGACTTCTGGGTGGTAAGCAAAAATTCTTACATGGTCAATCCAGCGATTTGGAAAAATTACATTTAAATATGCACGCACTGGCCGAGAAAAATACGGTGGAGTTCCGTCGTGCATGAATTACATGTCTCTTCTTAAATAAAGTAGAACTTCTTCAAGCCGTGGAAGCATTTTTGCTTGGCCACCCAGAAGACCAGACTTCATCCTCTTGATTCTTCTATTTGGCTTCGAATGAAAGATATCGTTTACGAAGAATCTATTGGTTCGTATGAAGACTTCTGACAAAGAATACAAATCGCAGCCAACGAAGTTAGACGCAATCTCAATATGTTGTTTCAAACTCGAAGATCTCTCAGAAAACGTTGTGTAAAGTGTATCAGTGTCAACGGTGGATACTTCGAACAATTACTGTAAATCATTATTACGTAGGTATTTCATTTGTTTTATTGTTAATTGTTGTAATAACATGAATAAACACTTAGTTTGTTTCGCTATTACTTTCTCGTATTATCAAAACATAGTGTTCGTTAAATCTGTTTTTCTCGAAAACGGATCGAGATACCGAAATGAAACAAAAGTACATAACTAATGGAAAAATGATTGCTCTATCAGGTTTTGAACCAAGTTTCATGTTAGACATATAGGGTAAAATGTTATTAACTAAATTTCCGGTAAAATTGGTATATGAGCAACGCTGAATTTACAACACGCATTTTATTCGTCGCTTAAAAAAATATAGTTCTAACTTACATATTTTCAGAATAATTACAAAAAAAAAAGATTTAAAATGTTAACTTTCAACACCCTGTATTTCCGAAACTATCAACTTTCGGATAAGGCATGTTTGCGCCAATGGTCACCATTTTACATGTAGTATCTTCAGCTTTCAATTTTCCCATTGTTAATGAATCACTCTGTATAATACGTAAGGTTTTAGGGATACGATGATATTGTAAACGGTAGATCTTAATTGCACTTCATAATGGCACACTCTCCCATTTAATTTCAAAATAAAAGGGGTATGAAAGCTACCACAGTAGTTTCGTAAATTATGTCCGTTTTAGTAAAACAGTTATTATATTTGTTTGTTTTATGTACATGGTACAATATAAAAAAATATAATATTTACTCAGAAAAATGGATCAATTTGTTTCAATACACAAATTTAAATACAACAAACAGGTTGACACTAGCGCAACTTTTTAAAAAAGCACTACTCAATTTGTTAGATCAAGTTTAAAGAATTTAGTCAGATGGATTTCATCGGATGAAGTCTTGAGTTGAGGTCACCCATGTACAATATAAGACAACATAGGAACTAAAAAATAACTATGACTGCAATGTTGGGATGTAGTAGCTTGTCTGACTCTCTTACCTAAAGAAGAAATAAGTTAAGCCATAGGTATATTTTTACAATTATTGAGGTTGCATACTAGTGTCTTATTTATGAAAATGATCAAGTTCGACTACTAGGTAATTGATAAACATCGAATTAGAACAGCCGAATGTTAACCAATTTGATCCGAAGAAACTTCGTCCTCCATTCTCTCCACGGATTTTTCCCAAAGAGTTCGTCTTTATGAATGGTGGAGCAATGATCTAGATACTTTTTCAAGAAGGAACCCCTTTTTGTGACGAAGCTACATTTACAACAGAAGGAATCAACAATTTCTATAACGATCAAGTGTGGGCAATCGAAAACCCTCGTGCTATTCGAGAATTCAGAGAAGATTTTCCGTAAGCGTTTGGGCTGGAATAATTAATAATGAAGTTATCGGACCACATTTCTTCGACAAAAATTTGAACAGCGAGACGTATCGGGATTTTTTGAAGAATAATCTACCTCTACTACTTCCTCAGAAGGACGATGTTCCTTTTACATGATGGTGCTCCATTCCATTATGGAAGAGGTGTCACTAATGTCCTCAATGAAAATTATCCAAATCAATGGATATGTCGTAGTGGTCCCATTGCTTGGCCAACGCGATCTCCGGATCTCAACCCGTTGGATTTTTTCATGTGGGGACTTGTGAAGACACATACCTATTCAATGGGAAAGCCTAATCGCAGGTAGTATTGAGAAAATTTTGATAAGGTGAAAAACAATATGGAGAACTACAACTGGGAAGGAGAGCGTCGACATGGAATTGAGTTATGCATTGCACAAGGCGGTAATCACATTGAGCAGCTTTAATAATTACACTGTCATTACACTTTTATTAAAATAAACCACTTTTTTTCTAAGCCCTGTAGTGGCAACAATGTATTTTACTCTTTAGCAACTACCTATACGACCTGCCAACTTCAAACCCCGATATTTTAAGAACCATCAGGAATTCGGGAAAAGTGAATAGAATCATTTTTGCTTAGAATTAGTCATAAAATTCATATACGAGGTGTATATTCCAAAAGCAGGATAGTTTTTTAGATGAAAATTTAACTGATATATTAAACTTTTTGACAAGTATGTCATTAGACTAGTGTTAATGTTGAAATTATAATGATGGGAATTCTTACCTGAGGCCTGCGAAAAGTTGAAAAAGTATAAAACTTAAATTGGATGCAAAGTCGAATAATATTACGTCCGATATTAAATCGTTAAGTTTTCTGCACAACTCGCTCATCATAATATAATCTCTTCGAATTTCTTTCCAAAACATGAAGTTCGTTTTCTGAAAGAAATAAAAAGTTCAAATTCTGACCATAAATTTCTAATTACAAAATATAATAAATATATTTTAACAGTATGCTAGTAATAATTAACTGGGAGCAATTAATTTTAATTGCAATTTCGTTTTAGAATAATATTTCAGATGCAGATACGGCATTTTAACTAAGCAGCGAAAGCTAACCTCCGTTGCCCTTCGTAAGCGTTCGGAACAGAATCGTATTATCAAATAGTAAATTAAAATCCTTAATATTGCAAAAATCTTATTTCAGAACTGATGGCGCATTAAAATGTAAAATTTAACTCAAGCATTATATAAGATTTAAAACACATCGACCGATTCTGACCAAAAATGGTTTTTAGATAAATAAATGCATGAGTTTTTGAAGATCTTTTTTAAATTAAGCTGAACTAAAGTGATAAAAACGTAAATTACTCGATAAAACCGACAAAAAATTTAAAAAAATTGAAGAACACTTCATACATTTGGTTGATGATAATATTCTGTTACAATTATACTAATATTATATTCAGCTTTGCAATCCAGTTATCTAAATACTACGCATAAAGGTAACTATTTGTTATTTTTGGATAGACCACTAACGTCATAATATTATTGTTAGAAATAGTGTGATAATATATTACTGATCCCAAAACAATTCAAGTGTAGCGCCCTAAAATCAATTAACTGGCTAATCCTCCAAAACCGAAGAGCAGCTGAAATTTATATTTGCACTTAATACCCATTTCTCACACCATTATTTCCCATTTAACAGATTAAAGGTAAATAATATTTAGTAATTAATTATGAAATATTGATCAGATAATTGACAGACTATTATTTCATTTTATCTATTACTAATTATGAAATTATGCATTTTGTTTGCGTTTAGTACTGTGCTAAGTACACCTTCACATATTTTTTTATATTAGATATACGTATTGTTTAGAATATTCAAATAAGTATTTATATTTACTGAAGTAGTATACGAATCAGATATATAATAGTTCTATAATTACATAAATAAGAAATGCTATACATACAGGGTGATTCAGAACTTATCCAAAAAAAAAATGTTTTAATGTACAGGGGACTCTTACAAATACAACTTTGTAAAAAAAATCGAAAAAGGCAGTTCGAAAATGATTTAAAAATACACTTCTGCACGGCACGGGAAATTGGTCCACTGTAAAACTTGAATAAAATTTTATAACACCTACTTCAGCAAATTCAAAAATTCAACTGCTTTTGCGCTGTTGTTATTATTAATTAATAAAGTTTATTTGTGGTTTTAATTAATAAAATAATTTGACATACATGATGTTGCAACTGTTCAAAATTTGGTCCACCGACGTGTAAACACATTTGGGTCCGTCGTACCCAGTTTCTACGAACTAACACAAATGTTGTCCTGCTTCACCATAACACAAATGCTTCACCATAAAAAAAATGTTGTCTTGCTTCACTATAAAATAAAACGATCTCCATCAACTTCGAGTTGCTATGCACGTAATCCATTTTTGACACTTGAAAAACTATTGTAAACACTATTCGGAATCACCTAGGGCCACGTGAAGAGGGAGTGCATTCCGTACAGCGCACAACGCGAATGACGCGAGAGACTACAGTAGTCCAGCTATGTAAGGGTTGTAAATACTACAATTTCAATACTTTTTTTTCTCGTTAACTATAAGGATTTTACAAGAATTTTTTTCCCTATATTTACTCCATTTTTCATGATGATTCCTAAATATTTATTTATAAGTTATCAATCACCCTGTATATCATACAAATTTACCAATTTGCATATCTTATCGATTTTATTCAGAACCAGAGCCAAATGAGAGTTGAAAATATATAGCCTAATACCCACCTCTCTGATTTTAAATATTGACAAGACAGAAACAATTATTTTGTAACAATAACAAAGCAGATTATTTTAATTTTTATGGAGAATAAAGTTCTGTGACGTTATCATTTCGTTCGAAAATTCTATAACGTCTGAATTTTTATAGTGCAGAAACACCACTACTCAGAGAGCTACAGTGAACACACGTTATGTCCAGGGGTCTAGATAGAGTTAAACTTCATACAACAAGTTAAAAGTCACACTTAATAAATATTTACATTTATTAAAGGTTATATACTACATTATACAATCCTGTACAATTACTATAAAGCTACGGTTAGACGGTGACAAGCGGCTACGGTTCTGCGCAGACGGAAACTACTGGAAACGGTAAGATAATGGTGCCGTGTTAAGTGACGATCTGACTAAAAACTAAGCACAGCAGAGTTAGCGGAAACGTAGCGTGCTAGCGGATTTTACGGTAAGCTAGGTGCAGATACCAGGAGTGGGGAAGCGATCAAGGGACAGAAGAAAAGTTATGTGCAGAACTTCTGTGATCTTCCTGGTAGTCTCTCTACAGGGTGTCTCATAATTAACTGCCAACCCTGAACAGGCCGATTCTATGATCAAAACTAAGTAAAAAAGTTCATATAAACATGGGTCCGGAAATGCTTCCTAAGGGCACAGGGACCCATTGAAGAGGGAGGAATGGAAATCATTTTTTTGCAATATCTCTCAATCGCGTTGTGATAAATGAATGAAATTTGGTATACACAGCTAAATTTTGATGAGCAATTTGATGGACTAATCCATTTATTTCCACAAGGTCCATTGGGGTG